GGTTAGGAGTTATTCACAGTTTGCCAGTCATTTGTTTTGTTCATTGTTGATTTACTTTTATTATTGTAATACTTTCCTTAAAGCAAAATCAAGCTAATAGCCTAGCAAACATTTTGAAAAATCCTCTGTTTACTAATTTGGGTTTTGATGTTGTTTTTTTCCCCTTTTTAAGAGACTGAATATTGCACACAAGTACTAAGCAAAGTCTGAAGCACTGCCCATGCATTTCTAAAAAGAATTGGATTGGGTAACTCAAATTTAGGAGCTAATTCAAAAAATTTTCCACTCTCTGATGAGCAAGGATTATAAATGAGTCTATCTGTCAATTGCAGACACTTAGGCAAATGACAGTGTGAAGCTATGATAATGAATGCATTATCATCTGCAGTTATTCCAGAATAAATTTGTCCTCCTTTGCAGAATTCAAGAGAGCTCTGAAATTAAATTGCTGCTCTCCCCTCCAAACCATCTTTGAACTTGGACACAGTTACACTCTTTGCCATTCATATTAATGTTTATAATTTCAGTAAAGAGGAATTTAGAGGCCTGGGGGCGGGGGAGGGACGGTTTTGTAGAAGTATGCACAAGATTTCCCAAAGTATATTGCTTTGTTATCAGTAGCCAGCTGTAACATTTTTGCAACATTTTGGGAACAGTGTATGCTGCTTTTTAAAATGTGTGTATTGTTCTCACCCTGCTTATGATTTTCTGGAATGAAACTATCTGGCCACAATGTGACACAGAAAACAGGGCTAAATGGACCCTTGGTCTGAACCAGCAGAATCTTATTATGTTCTGTGTTCTTGTCAGGCCCAGCCCAAGAATGCCGGTGAAACAGTCCATTTGAATTCAGTTCCTTTATTTGCTTACACCTTATATAGACAGAATCTTGCCAGACTAAATCTGTACTACAGCAACTAGTGGATATACTCTTTGAGATTCTAGGGAGTGGCTATCCTGAATCTCTTTCTCTTTTCACGCTCCACCTGCAGACTGTGTTGTCTCTTGTCCCCTCCTGGAATGCACCCGCTCCTTCCTGATAGCCTTGCTCTCTGCTGCAATCCACCACAGTTCTTCTGGTAAATGTTTTATTGTCTTGGTGCAGTTAAAGGCCGGTAAAATTTTGACCAACACTGTCCCCAAAAGCATTCTGCTCTTTCTTTGGAACTGTTTTGCCTGCAAACATTGAATACATTGTGGAGTACTTGATGCTCTCTGAGCTTCGTTGTTTGCTTGCAGGCATTTCACTACCCAACTAGGTAACATCATCAGTGCACAGTGGGTAAAGAAATGTCTGCAAGCAAACAACGAAGCTCAGAGAGCACCAAGAACTCCGCAGTTCAACCCTGAGCTACAGATATTCTCTTACTCTTCTTCATTTTGCCAAACGTTGTCTCTAACTTGTGATAAACAGAGTTGGTTCTCACATTGTGTATCAGCTTGCAGAAGAATTTAAGCCTGCAGGTTGTGCTGTTGCTGGCATCTAGAGAAAATAATATCTGAATCCATTATGAGCAACTACATGGAACACAGCCATTTTTGGAAGTTTTTACAGAGTTTCAGAGAGAGAGATAGGAACGAGAGCTGTTTTCTCCTCTACCTTTACATAATTCAGTGGTGATCACTCAGCAATGGAGCCCCTACAGCGCATGCTAGAAGTACCACATGCCATTTCTGGCAGTTTGGATAAGCTTCTCCTGGAGAGCCATTACCAATCAGTGCAAATAGTACAGATATGAGGAGCCTAACTATATTGCAAGTATTGGGCACACTTTAATTATTTTTATTTTATTTTATTTAAATTGAGGCTTATATGCTGCTCCAACCCAGCAGATCTCTGACTCTCTATTCTTCAGGGATCATTAGACATGTGGCAAGTGATATCAGTGGAATAGGCAGGGCCAAAAAATGGACCCTTGCAGAGGTGGGGAGGATTAAAGGGCAAAGTGGGTACCTTAAGCCCTGCAAAGTCTAAAAATACTTATTTTGCCACTTTAATCACCCCATAGGTAAAATCAGTAGCAGATTTTAAGGAATGAAATGGTGTCTTGGTGATGATCCTGCCTCTTAAATCCCCAAACCGATGGGTGGGTGGATAGATTTACAGCATTTAATGCCCCAAAATTACCAGGCTTTGGCAGTTTACAGTAATAAGAGCACAACAAAACAAGACCAATAAAAATGAAAACATGCATGTTAGGGTTAAAAACAAATACATACATAATAAAACCATAACCCCAAATCAGTCAAACCTGGGGATCCTCATTCACCACACACCCATTAGGAAAAATTTGGCTCCACCACCTCCATGGGATGTTTCGGGGTCAGCAAAAAGACTACCAAGAATTGCATTGTGCACCTGTGGACTAGACAGACCAACCATCTGACTCAATATAAAGCACATTCTTCTCTCTTACTGAAATTTTCCAGACTAGCAATTTATAGCATCAGCCAACCATTGGGCTGGTGATGCAAAGCCTGTCTGCACTGGTAATTTCTTGCCAAGCCAAGGTTGGGTGATGCTGAAAATTGGTCTGAAGGTCTCATTGTCTTCCTGTTCTGTATTACAGTCTACTAGAAGTCTCTAGTTTGGAGCCTGCACCATTTGAATTCACGTTTACTTTTGGGTGCGGAGCAAGCGTGATCGATTGTTGTTTAACATTGACCAGTTTATTTCCCTTGGTCAGGTTATTTAATGTTGGCTTCAGATCAAATAGTGATCATCAACCTATAATTTTAAATTTATTTGCCAATGATAAAGATGTTCGTCTGACCCAATATTATTTTCTGGATGTTCTGGAGGAGGAGGAGGAGGAGGGCCAGAATAGATGACATTATCCCCTGATTGCCCCCAGTGTACTACAGATACAACTTCCATCCATGTTTTCTTGCAGCACTTCAATTTCTTCTAGGCAAACCCATGTGTCTTGGATTGGCTACTGTACAAAGTAGCAGAACCTTCCCCCACCCAACCTTGATCATTGGTCACTGGCCCGTAGCTCTCTAATCTCTGCTGCATCTGCTGTTGCCAGTGGTGTTCTGATAGTACAGTGGTTATATCATTTGCCTAACATGCAGAGGGTTTTTTAATTACTATTTTCCTTTTCCTAAGCTACCCACTTTTCTGCTGGGTTATTTTTTTTTTTTTAGCAGGGGTGTAAGGTTGTTATTTTTAATAGGTCTACCAGTGTACAGTTGAAACACTGGAGCTTTCCTTTCTTTTCATTTACCAGCCCCAATAAATGCAGTGAAATGTCCTTTGCAATACTTGTTCATTTAGGCTATAGGGAGCTTTCTGCCTTAAGTGACAGCAAAAACAATGAAAAACTGAACTTGTAAAAAAAAAAAAAAC